TAACTTGAATGCACCATGAAATTGTACAAATATCTAAAAATAATAATTTCTCTTCCAGATCTAAAAGTCCTCAAGAAAAGGTTTATTGGAATCAAAATGGTCACTTTAACAGAGAAGTATGCTATGTCAATCAACAGCAATGCTTTGCTCATTTAATAGTGTCAAATTTACAAAATAAAGCCAACATATCCTGATTCCATTGCTTAAGTTTCTAGGTTCAATCAGTAACCTTTCTAAGAGGAGTCATATGTGTCTGCTTTCTTTTCCTTAGCCTAGTCCAGGGGTTAAAATGGTATAATTCAGACTTTCCAGATATCGGCAGTGGAATTCTTGTCCATGAAGTTGTCCCAGACTCCCCAGCTCAGAAGTATGTCTCATGCAAAAAAATAAATAAAGATTATTTTCAAAATGCCTTTTAAGCTTAAATTTTTAATCATGCCGCTACATACAGTACGTTTCGACAACATTATGAACTGATTAATCCAAAACAAATCATTCTCTCATTTTCACAGAGGTGGGCTCGAAACAGGTGATATCATAGTGAAGCTAAACGGCCATCCTTTGGTCAACACTGGAGAATTACAGGAGGCGATTCAGGAAGACATGCCCCTCCTTCTGGAAGTTCGGCGCGGTAATGATGATCTACTATTTAACATTGAGCCTAATATCCTCATGCAGTGACAATATCAGAGATGGAAACCTGGAGGAGTGATATGAAGGACAAACAGCAGATTGGTAGAAGTGTGCTTGACTTTCTATAGATAGATGGAAATGTGAAGATAGAGGAGCACAATTAACATGTCATTGCATCTGGGTTTCAAAGGGCAAATGGAGGGGGAAAAAAACTATTGTGTACTGAACTACTTCTGACCAGTGTTATATTTTTTAATTGTCTCTTAAATTTAGTGTTATTAATGTCATGCTATTTTACAGTAAAATGCCACAGTATTACAGTGCCTTTCTTTCAAGACTGACATGGACTGACTTTAGAGATCAGTAATCATTTAGAAATATAAAAAATAGGCAATTTGTTTAT